GAAAAGTGACTGTAGACGAGATGCCACATCAGGACCCATCACATTGCATATCCGTCTCTAGATTCTTTCGAGGACATCGAAACTAACAGCAAGGAGTCCAGATCATATATGGCAGCAGTAATTCTATGTAATGACGAATGGTTCTATTTTTTTAATATACATCCTCTCCACTTAAACATTGTCATTTTATTTACTCTTTTGTTTTTTTTTAATTCTTTTTTCTTCAATAGGATTTGATAGCTTCGCCTTTCTTCCTGTTCACACTACTCCCTAGTATCGTGAATAGATGTAGACGTTTATACCTTGATTCCTGCTTACGATTGAGTTTCTGGTTTCTTTTAAAGCAACATTCAGCTCTATACATCTAACGTCTTTGCCTGAACTTTGTAACTGTATTCACAATTTTTTTCCTTCTCCAAAGGATTAGATAGGTTTGCCTATCGTCCAGTACACACTCTTCCCTGGTATTTTGAATAGATGTAGATGTTTATCTATAGTTCCCTGTTCAGGATTGCGTTTCCCGTTCCTTCTAAACTCTTTTCATTATCTTTTCTCTCCCAATAGTCATTTACATCTTAGAGGTTTTTCACTGCTTGAGCTGAGTTGATTTACAAAAAATTTATAGCTAGGAAATAAAAAGAAATAACAAAATTATAACCAGCTTTTCTTTCCGATACCGACAGTGACAAAATCTTCATGTTATCGATTATTATTTCACGCTGTTTCCATCTTTTGCTATCACACTATTCATGTTTATCTGTTGATAACAGTCTATTTGTGTCAATTTCAAACTATTCATCTCAGTCTATATCGGTCTATTCATGTCTATCATATATCAATAGCAGTTTATTCATATCTACTTATTTATATCAAAAAACTGACAACAGGCAATGCCACAAAATTAATGTCCAGTTTATTACATGATGATAAAATGAATTTAGGTTAAAAAAAATTACCTAAAATATAAATTCAGATAAAACCGGAATAAGTGGAAATAGATTTTTAAAAAATGGTACGTCGAATTTCTCATTAATTAACGTTCATTTATAAATCCTAAGTCAGTTAATTAAAATATACCTGTATATACAAACAATTGGAATGATATTTACATGGAATCAAACGTTGATTTAAAATTTCAAAAGAGTTCCAAAAATCTAATTAAAAACAGAAACAAATATCTTAGGGTGAATTAATATTTGCGATAATTAACTTTAGATTATTTGGGGTGAATTGACAGAAAATATAATTTTTCTGTTTCTCAAATTAGTTAATGATCAATTTTGTCTGGTATCAACCGATCAAATGTTTGGAGGATTAAAATGAAATCGTCTGCACTTTTGATTCGAAACATCTGATGGCGGAATTGAATAAAAATGAGATATAATCAAGATTGATTCTTAGCGACGATTTGAAACTTGTGAAGATTTGGAAATGGGCTTTCGTCTGAAACAACTCATCTTTAAATGCCCATGTATTTTTATTTATTATCAGGAAATCTGTACACACGTTTAACCCATAAAATTACTTTTTCTCGTTTTCTTCTTCCTCTTATCTCTCGTTCAATTATCGATCAAAACTCTTCTCTTATTTTCAAGGAGTTTTTTTTCCATTTTAATAGATATTAAAATACTTTCTGAATTCACCTATTCATAAAGGTTTCAACCATACCAAGGAATGCATTTTATCAGTTTATAATTTCTTGCGCTGACATTTTACTGAAAATATGTCTTACCACTATGAACAGTAACAGTTCGTTTTTGATATTTACTTTTCGAAAGGTAGTAAATTTTAATTATTGAAATAAAATTAGGAAGCAAGAGTTGCTTCTCCCTTGCAATTATTATTCGCGTTTTTTTTAAAGATCAGTTATTAAAATATTTTTGAGTGAATAAGACACAATCCTCTTTTTTCAACTTGTGAAACGCTTCACCGAAATAATGATTATGCATTAAATAGTGTAATCATTAATTCAATTTTGGGTTCTTTGTAAATGTTATTTGGCAGAAGCTGAAAGATTCAATTGGATCTCATTTTACTTGGGAACAGGAAATGTTCAACGATTGTCTATCAAATTAATGGTACATATTTTTAAAGAGTTTATTCAATATCAGAAAGTTAACTTGATCTTTCCCATTTACAGGGTGTGCTTCATAAATTCTCGTCATTTTTTCTTTTTTTTTATGGCGCGCATGCGCGTTGTTTGCTTTTGATTTTGTCGACTGCACAATATAGTAGGGTCAGTTGGGTACCGTCTGTTAGAAAAATTAACAATGACGCAATTCACTCCGTCAGAAATTCGGAAACGGCTTGATGTACTGCTTGGTATTCGCAGCGGAAGCTCCAATACGAGTATTTCAAAGTCTTTGGGTGTCAATTTGAGGAGAGTGCAGAGAATTCGGAAAGAGTTGGATCAGTCTAGTGGTGTTTACGAACGTCTTTGGAGTGATCACTAGCGATGGCAAAGTTATGCTTACATTCTATTCTCACTGGGCCTCAGACTCACTACGGATTCCTACATCAAGTGCATTGAGGTGGTAGTGCTGCCCTGGGTTAATAGGATGACTGCTGGAAGACCCTATGCCTGATAACAAGACTCCACAATATGCCATACAAGCAGGAGAACGCAGTCATGACAATATCACCCCTTACATCTGGCTACCTATCGCCCCAGATTAATATGCGTGGGGCGCAATTGAGCGAGAAATCAACAAAACTCCTTTTACTACCAAAAATGTACTCAAGGCAAGGATTATGGCAGCATTCACTAACTTAACCTAGAAGACCGTGAGGAAGTGTTGCAGGAGATTCCAAAGTCGTCTGGAGGCCGTGGTTGAAGCCAATGGCGATTTTATTGAATACATTTACTCTTTAGTATTTCAAGATATTTGTAATTTGGAGAAATATATCATTAAAATGAGATATCTGTGTTATTTTCATTTTCCGCCTAATTTAGACGACAATTTATCCATTGCACCTTTTAGAATAGTGTTTGGCTGATTTTAATATTTTCTTAGTTTTTAAATTATCATATTGGAGACTGGAACATATTCTGCAATGCCAAATGCCATGTTAATAATAACAGTTTTCCCTTACTTTATTCTTGCTAATAAAGTAAGAATCGGCGTCATACTCTATCTGAAAACGTTTTAATGAAATACTGTTCTGAATAAAGGTTATTCTTTACAAAATTGAATTGATTCCATTGGGAAATATAATTTATCAGAATGAGTTTACGCATAGACACTTGACAAGATTACGATATGATATTTTTTCTCACATAATGTATTTCTATAATCGTAGTTGCATCTAATTTTGAACATTTGAAGTTTGTTATTAAAAAAAATGACTTATTGATTCATAATTAGTCGGAGAGTTAAAATGTTGATTTTTTATATCTGTATCATAATTACTTTAAACCCCTGAAAATAATCACAATTTTTCAATGATACATGGACGAACACTCAATGAACGCTGATTGATGCTTTTTAATAAAGTAGAAGATACTAAGCAATTCTCTTGCTTTCTATTCAACTGAGTCTAAACTAAATTTTCATTTCAACAGTAAATTTATTATCTAATATTGTTGTATTCTCTTCAGAATATGCCTGCTCGTATAAAAATGTTTTAAAAACCATAACTCAATTTTAACACTTTCTGCATTTACCACCTTAGAAATATAATGGAACACATAAATGTTCAACATCTGTCAATATTTCTGAGATGAGGTATTTACACTGTTTACATTGTTGGAAGGACTGTTGTCACCATCTTTATTATCATATTCACAACGTTTCGCCGGTTGTACGCTTCAGGGGATATACGTGGGAACCAAAGCATTTATTTAATCCACAGAGTATATTTGTCCATTTTCAAGTGACTTGACCCAAACAGCTATGAGTTCAATACTTGGAGGAAATCACTGAAACTGAGATATCCAGAAAAAGGCATGGCACGTGGAACAACAATCTACTCCAGTGAACCAAATAAAGGGCTCGGTTCAAAATTCCAACGTATATCACTTGAGGAAGGCCGGAGCGTACAACAACCGAAACGTCGTGAATATGATAATAAAGATGAGGACAACAGTTCAAACAATGTAAATAGTGTAAACACACTTCCAAGTTAAGAACGAATTCTTTAACTGCTTTAAAATTACTTTATTTATGTTTCGGGTATGGACATAAAACAGCAAGGCTAGAATTTGAAAGGGCTTAACGAGAACTTTGTTTAATCATGAGGGTTTCCCGTGACCTCATTTGTAGGGCACACTTCGGCGAAAGGAGAGGCTACACAGATGAATAAGAGAATGCTGGTTCGATTCCTGTCGGAGAGCACATTTCACATTAGTAGGACTTCTCGTTATTTGCTGTTTTAAAATAAGACTGTTTTCCACACTAAAAATAACGTTTATACCAATAAGAAATAATATCGGATTTAAAAATTCCCTTATCTCATTAAAAATTAAATAAACTCTTGTAAAACTGCCAATTTAATTTTTGATTTCAATCATTTCCATTCAAGCAAAGCGATAATGCTACTATTATAAGGATTGAAACACAATGAGGTGGAGGTTTGAAAGGGTAATAAAAGAACTTCAGGAAGACAGAAAATGGTTAAGGATTTGCATTTATACCATTTATGGTTGTATGTGTCAAGGACATAAGGCAACAAGAGGCAATTAGTAGTAGAAAAGAAACTGTTAGAATAGATGAGAGGGTTACATCAAGTTAGTTCAACAGTAACACGCTGAGACCTAAGTGCTAATCAAGTACCACACATAAATTCATACACTCGAGGCACTAAGGAAAAAAAGCCCGCGAGAACAGTTTCCATGAAGATATTTGCAGGACAGAGGGAAACCACATCACGTCGTTGAAAAAGTGACTGAAGCGAAGATAACTACTTATATTAGAGACCCTTCTTTGAATTAATATCACTCTTACAGTTGTATTACTTTCATTTTATAACAGCAAAAGTACGACCCCTATTCTATAAAGGGCTTACGGCAATATCACGTTTAAATATCGGTTCTCGTACGATCATCCATTTTAAGCAACATCGAGCCTGGTTAGTACCTATATGGGTGACCGCTTGAGAATACTAGGTGCTGTAAGATAAGATGTGCGGGTGGTGGAATTGGTAACAACTAGCTATTTGAAATCGAAGAGCTGAGTTCGAATTCCGGTTGGATCCATTATATTCATATGCGCAAATATTCTTCGGAAAGGTATTGATCAACCTCTTTTTCCCCACCTATGCGTTTATTAGTAGGACTTGTGTCAGTAAATCATTATTATCTACAAATATTGTTACAATGTAAAAATATTTTCTGGATTTAAATAATCTAAAAAGGTCGATAAGCCGTAAAAGCAAATAAATCAGTCAATGCAAGTTTTGAAATGCATCACACAAGTTATGGAAAACAATAATCTCGTCAATATTCCAGTGTCCATGAATCAAGGTGATATATTCTATATGTTACAGTGGATACCTAAAACCACGGAAGATCTTTTACTTACTGGACCCATTCAGGACTTTAGATTCCATTGTGCCTTACAAATTCCTGTATTAATCACCATAGAGATCCTTCACTGCCCCCCATTAGAATGTCTAATGTTCAACTTCTTGAGAGCAACTCTCTGGGTCTGCTCGGTCTCACGTTGACTACTGACCTGAGATGGAACAAATACATTGAGTCAATTGCTTCGTCCACCGCAAGGAAAGTTGACTCTCTGTGCCGCACCAGGAAATTTTTCTCCTCGGAATCGTTCCTTCAGATCTACAAATCAACCATTCGCCCTTGCACGGAATATTGCTGCCATATCTGGTCTGGTGCACCTTCTGTTTACCTCGGAGTTCTTGACAACATCCAGAGGCGGAAATGTAATATAATTGGCCCTGATCTGGCATCTCATCTACAGTTGCTCTCTTATAGACGCGTCTTTTTTACAAATACTTTCATGGTAATTGCTCCGAGGAGCTGCATTCCCAGACTTCATGAATTCAAGCGCCCTACGAGGCTGGCATCCCGCTCTCACCCTTTCACTGTAGAAACTTCTAAATGTAGCCGTCTCTTCTACTCCAATAGCTTCATACCTCGCACCTCTCGCCTGTGGAACACCCTTCCCTATTACTGTTTCCCTGCGAGTTATAATCTCCAACTATTCAAATGTAATGTCAATCGACATCTCCAGTTACCTTGATCTATCCACTATCCCTCTCCTCATCCTTTCTTCTATCACTCCTATCTGCTCTTACTCCAAATCTTCTGCACCCCCCCTGCATCCTAGTGGCTTCCCGCCTTGCTCGGGGCGTAAAGCTTAAAAAAAATCTTGCAATCTAAAATCTGTTAATAGTTTAGTTGACTTGCAAAGGGTTGGTAATCCATAAAAAAGCAAATAAATCCAATCCAATCTATTAGATAAATTATATCTTTTAGAAGATGTGCAAAGTATTAACGGATTAATTATAACCAGAGTTCTGGGCTGCTATATAATATAGATGTTCTTATATTGCTAGAAAACCTCTATATTTCTTTATAGATTAAGGCGTTACAAGACGCAACAGAATGGTAGGTGTTTTTAATTAATTCACCCCAAGCAAGGTGATAATGTCACTATGACGCAATGAGCTACTGGAAATGAAACAGAATCAGATTTTAGAAGGAACTGGAAAACCAATCCTAAACAGGAAACAAAGGATAAACCTCTACTCCTGTTTAAAACTCAGAGGAGGCGTATGAACCGGAATATAAGTGAACATATCTACTCCTCTGAGGAGGATGAGAGTATTATGGCTGAATTCATAACTTTCTGAAGCGTATATACGTATAAGTGAATGTAATAAAATCAACAAGAATTCGAACTCGGCCCTCCAATTTCTGATGCCGCGTCGCTGTTCATTATCCCACACACATCTTCTCTTAATGAGAAAAGGAATCTTGTACTATTTAGCACTCACACGAGATACTAAACGCAGTAGTGAGGGCAAAGGGAAAGAAAAACGTTTGTGTAGCTCTGTCTTTTCTGCAAATGTTTTCATTGCAACAGCTCTGATGAGCCTTTTTCCCTTGTACCCGACTACATGAATTTAAGCGTGCTACTAGGTTGGCAGGTAGGTCCCACAAATGCAACCGCCACTTCTACTCCAAAAGTTTCTTTTTTTCGCACTGTGGAACTCACTTCCGTTTACTTCTTCAATTCAATTCATCTTTTATCCTTTCATTAACCCTTCCTATATTCAATATTTTCTTACCCCCTGTAAACCCATTGATACTAGTGGCATAACAGCCTTGCTTGGAGTGAAATGGTTAAAAAACGATGGCAGACAGGCGGTAAAGTGTCAATCGTTGCTTTGAACTACAAGTGACAGGAAGTTGTCGCTTACGTCTTGAAGAAATTTCCCACGTAAAAACATTTTTATTATTTTATCTACTATTCGCTTTTATCTAAAATGCAATACAAAATTAAATTGAATACTAATAAAAAGAAATAATGAGAGACAGAAGGCAAATTCTTTTCAGATGACCAATAAAACTGAACCCGAGATTCATTAGAATAACATCATTCGCAATCTACCCAGCATTTTTATCATTTGATGAAAGGTTGTTTGGAAAAATGAGCCACTGTGTATGCGTCTTTCTCTGTTAAATATTAATTACATGCTATGTGATCTCTGACTCCATACTTTGAATACATGTCTGACAATCTTTATTTTTCTCCAGAGACGATGATTGGAAACTTAGGTTACGTGCTTTTACAAAATCACGTCACCGATGTCTTTTTAAACTTCTGTTTAGTCAAAATTCATTTAGAATATACATGGTTGTTTTTCATGCTGAGATGTTGCATTGATACCAACAGACAATGCTGTATACTGGCAGACACTGAGGAGATCTTGCTTCAAGGGTATTTGTGTATATAATGCGTCCAATTATTTACTCAAGTTCTTGGTTTGTATTATATGACCAGATGCTTGTGAAATTTTAATGTATGAACAAGATATTCTAAAGATTCAAGATATTATTTGAATGTATTCGGTATCAGTGCCGCAATGTTTTTTCAGTGCCTATATGATCATGACTCTCCGCCACTTCTTTTCTGCAAAGTGCGCATGGCTTTGATTGTTCTTAGAAAAGACAGTGGAGTAGTCCCCCGTTAATTACCTGCAGTTTTAAATTCGGGTGTTTCCTTAACCAAGACACGTTAACAACCAAGAGATTAAACTCTGCTACCTAACTTCTAGACAGACGATATGAATTCAGTTTGCTAATTATATTTCCCGCTTAATTGACAAAAGAAAAATGTATAAATTGTTACAAAAACCATGTATACCTTTATAAAACAATAAACTGCCATGTGTTTCTTTTATTTTCACGTCATCATATTTTGCTCATCGATCCTGTAAATAATAACAGGATAATCTATCTATCTATCTATCTATCTATCTATCTATCTATCTATCTATCTATCTACGTCTCTTCATTATCTATCTATCTATCTATCTATCAATGTCTCTTCATTATCTATCTATCTATCTATCTATCTATCTATCTATCTATCTATCTATGTCTCTTCATTATCTATCTATCTATCTATCTATCTATCTATCAATGTCTCTTCATTATCTATCTATCTATCTATCTATCTATCAATGTCTCTTCATTATCTATCTATCTATCTATCTATCTATGTATCTTCATTATCTATCTATCTATCTATCTATCTATCTATGTCTCTTCATTTATCTATCTATCTATCTATCTATCTATCTATTTATCTATCTATCTATCTATCTATTTATCTATCTATCTATCTATGTCTCTATCATTATCTATCTATCTATCTATCTATCTATCAATGTCTCTTCATTATCTATCTATCTATCTATCTATCTATCTCTTCTATTATCTATGTCTATCTATCTATCTATCTATCTATCTATCTATCTATCTATCTATCTATTCATTTATCTATCTATCTATCTATCTATGTCTCTTCATTATCTATCTATCTATCTATCTATCTATCTATCTATCTATTTATCTATCTATCTATCTATCTATCTATCTATCTATCAATGTCTCTTCATTATCTATCTATCTATCTATCTATCTATCTATCTATGTCTCTTCATTATCTATCTATCTATCTATCTATCTATTTATCTATCTATCTATCTATGTCTCTTCATTATCTATCTATCTATCAATGTCTCTTCATTATCTATCTATCTATCTATCTATCTATCTATCTATCTATCTATCTATCTATGTCTCTTCGTTATCTATCTATCTATCTATCTATCTATCTATCTATCTATCTATCTATCTATCTCTGCATAATAGGAGTGCTATATTTTCTACAGGGTTCAGAAATCATAAACGCTGACAATAAACTTACTGTATTATTTAAAGTTATCATTGCGATTTTACTTACAACAAGTAATATTTGTTCGTAGGAAAAGTTTTTCACAATTAAATAAAGTTTCAGATTATTTCAAGCTAAATTTTGTCATCCAAAATTAACTTCTCTTCTGTAATGATTGATTACGAGGAAAATGATAATTTTTTTAATCAACAATCCTCCAGAAATATATTATCGATCAATGAAATAAAGGATTCATTGAATATTATCCGCATTTAGTTCATTTGATTTACCGTGACTCTCATATACGTATCAATTCAAATGTAAAATGAATATTGAGTCAACATCTTTGTAATCAACCATGAAAACCTTTTGGAGGCTTAGTTTTCCATTTGTTTTCATTTCTGCTCAAAAGGTGCTTTCCATTTTATTATTATTTTCTTTTTATCTTTATTTCACTTTCATTCTTCTTCGGCCTACGTACTTTCTTTTTATATACCACCTTCATGTTACTTAATCTTTATTCTATGAGATTTACTTCTCTCTCTCTCTCTCTCTCTCTGGGGCTTCTTAATCTTTTTATGATTATTATTTATTTTGTACTTTTTTCGTTGTTTTGTTGCAATTATTAATATTATTATTACATAAATCCGTACTTTGACTTTTTCATTTGTATTCATAACACGAATTTTACATTTTCGGTAGAGTAAAACATTAGTGTACAACAAAAAGCCAACATTGGAATGAA